AATAATGCCCAGCACCCAAAATCAAAACTCCTCACTGTCCACTGTTAAAACCTGTCTAAAAAGGATGATATTATGAGCAGTGCTGATAATAATCAGAGTGGGTGATTTTTCCATTCACTGATTGTTACACAGGGTCAAAGGGCCAGCTGACCATCACTCTTAACTACAGGTAGAGAATTGAAACATGGCTGACAGCCAAGCATCCTTTCTCTTTCCAGCCTCCTCTAATTAGAAATACCGCATTTCTACTTATGCTGGCGAAAGAACATATTTCTCATGCGATGAATGAAGTTATACTATTTCACTCGCCACTGCGGATTACAGAAGTCCTAAACAGTGGACAAATTTAAGAGGCTCCAGAGCAGTATGGAAAAGGTGTATTATTCTAACAATTAAGTGAAGCTTGAGGTTCAGTAATGTGTCTATATTTATAGACTCCTCATGGTCTGAGATCGTAATTTAGCTCACATAGCTTATGTGTAAATCTGGCACTGCTTGCTAGAAACATTATTTCACCATATTGTAGTCACAGTTTTTAAACACTTCATGAAGAATAACCTTCCTACTTGCAAGCAAGCAAACACCCCTTTCCTATAAAGTTACAAGGCTTTTACTGATTAAAGAAGTTAGGCTTACATTTGCAGTCATTTTGATTTTATTTTGACTAATTTGAGATAATGTTCTCAGCTGTAATTAGCAGGATATTTTTTTAGAGAGATAGGGTTGGTTGTCCAATGTAAGTGCTGACCTGAAACCAAAATCCAAAGTGCTTTAAATTATTATTCCATTGTTTCTAATACTGTAATAACTTGGCTGAATGACCTGGCTTCTAGCCATTTACCTCTTTCATTTATATAGGAAAACATTGCATCCCATGACAGGGATGTTATGGACAGTAAACCAGTGAGACTTACTGATTACCATGGGTACAAAGGGCATTAAAGTTTTAATGCACACATAGGTTGCAGAAGGTTCCGTTTCTCTTTACCTTATCAGAATATACATAACCTACATAAATGAAATAGTTGTGTGTAATTGTCAAAGAATGCCGCCTGCCCCAAATGAAGTTAGGTACTTTATAGGATCTTCTGCTACTGAAGAATTCCTGGCCTCAACTCTGATTTTTAAATCCCAGTCTCAACATCACATGTCCGTTTTTAAATGTGTGTAGTTTAATTGTATCTAATGGATCTTATACTATAGGTAACAGTGTGAGTCCATGCACTTTTTCTCTCCCAGTACAATTATGTGAAAGTTTTTTTAAAAATTACACACTTTGAGTTGTTATCTTTGGAGCAAACAGCTTGTGTCCAGTATAAATCGCTTGGTTCGAATGAATGTATAACAATGACAAATAATTCTTTGTTGTCCTCTGGGACATGGAGCCCCCAGACTAGGGTGGGCCATAAACATATTCATTCATTCATTCATTCATTCATACATACATACATACATACATACATACATACATACATACATACATACATACATACATACATACATACATACATACATACATACATACATACTCCACCTTTCTCCTTGAAACGACCCATTGAAATATAGTACAGTATTTAAAGTTGAAAACAATGAGTATACAAAAGTGGTTAACATTATTAAAGGATAATATTTAAAACTAAGAACAATCAGTATAAAGAGGGGTCTTACATCAATAAAAGACAACATTAAAGCTAAAAACAACAAGTATACAGATATTTTAAGAATGCCAGTGGGAAATGGAAAACATAAAAATGGAAAACACAAGTGGTACTAAAAATCCAGTCAAAGCAGTAATTGCATCCACTGTTGACCGTGTAAGATGCACACCATCCCCATACCCCTCATGCTCCCAATTTTCCCCCTCATGCTCTCTAGTAGCAGGGAGTAATTTAACCAATTAGAATGGAATCTTTTTTTGGGGAAAAATCCTCCTTAACTTAAAACAACATGGGGTGGGGAAAATATGACAAAATTGAGTTCTGTGGCCCCTAGGGGACACTAGTGGACTTTCTGAGGAAAATAAATATATATATTATGGAGAGGACACTGGTGGTTGCACAAGGCAATGCTGGGGGCAGGATGCACTTTGACCCCTGGAGGCCACAGCCCAGGCCATACACCAAACTTGGCCTGCCCCTGACCTTTAATGTCTTTCCCCCAATTTTAATTGTTTTAAATCATGTTGTCATTGTCTTGTAAAATATATGGATGGGGCACAACTCTCAGTGCAAACAGGTGGAGGGCTATGTCTAGTTTGCAAAATAAAGTTGATGAAGAAGGGGCTGCTATAATTTTCAGCACATTGCACTTAGATTTTTAGTAGCTCCAATATTGTGATGAACTGCTACAAATTAATTAAGAATGGATTGTATGGCCGAATGTATTCTGAACAATACGAATAAAAAACCTGCCTGGAAAATATTGTTCTGGCTATTTAATCAATATTCTCATGCTGCGGTTTTCATCCTTAAAATAAATTAAAAATGCTCTTTAGTTTGGATGAGACATTTATTTTAGGATTGTTAATATGAGCATTACCAGCCATATTAACAAGGTGGTACGGACAATATCCAGCTTGTTTTGGAAACTGAACATTTAGGCACCAAAGTCTCACCCAAAACTCAAGCAGTGGTTTCACAAAAGCTGAAATACATGAGAGAGCATGAAATTTTTTCAAGCTGTTCTAGGACTGTGGCATTTATAGAATAACACTGCAAGTAATGGAAGTTCCCATTACTTGTTAGAGTGTGTGTAAGTAATTTGTTGTCCATACTTCTTCTGGCTTTTAAAATAGCAGTGACTGCTTTACTCTTTGCATTTCTCATCCTTTCCCCCTTTCTTTTTGAGATTCCTTTGTGAACAACATTAGAACTGATGAGAAAGCCATTAACTTGGACAATTTCTGTCAAAATGCCTCCAGTAGTAGTAGCAGTAGTAGCAGTAGTAGCAGTAGTAGCAGTAGTAGCAGTAGTATTAGTATTAGTATTAGTATTAGTACTAGTACTGGTACTAGTACTAGTACTAGTACTGGTAGTACTGGTAGTACTGGTAGTACTGGTAGTACTGGTACTAGTAGTATGTAACTTTTGTATAACTTATTTTAAAGCTAGAATGAATAGAATAACAAATCAGGGTTCAGGAAGTTTCCCCTACCCACATATAGAGCATGATGGAACCAGAGATGGAGAACAATGTCTACCGAGCTAGCTATATCTGCACACTGTCATCGTAAACTCCTGCATTTCAAAATGTAGCACCACACTACCGAGACATCTCATGTCAACTGTATTAATTTCTGAAAGAATTACAGAGGATGTAATAATAGCATGTGAGATGAAAGGAATTATTCATGAAAATTTATTGCTGCCTGTGTTATCAGACTGATTGTTGCTATA